TTTCATGCCAAACTTTGTCGAATGCTTTAGATATATCTAAGGCAATTGTTCTTGTTTCACCCCGCAACTCAATCGCTTTTTGCCATAAGTGAGTGACGTATGTAAGTAAATCGCCAGTTGACCTATATTTTCGAAATCCGTATTGCTTATCGTTGATAATTTTGTACTTTTCCAAGTACTTGGTTAGGTGATTGTTCACAACTCTTTCCATTACTTTTGATATCACCGGAAGTAGAGCAATTGGTCTATAGTTTAACGGATCTGTCTTTTTTCCTTTCTTTGGAATGGGTTGTACTGCGGCAGACTTCCATGATGATGGATATACTCCTTGCCTGTAAGACAAATTGAATAATTTTGCGAAAGTTGGGGTGAGTTCGTTGGCGCAATTTTTGAGTACTATTGCGGGAATGCCATCCGGACCCATTGCTTTGTTTGTATCCAGCTTTTTTAGGGTAGGTACCTTCCTACTAAAACGATGAAATTTCAAATTTTTTTCTATTGAGATGTTGTGTCCTAATGGTCATTTGGGATTCCCCAAAATCCATACACTAAATTATTCTCAGATTTGAAGCCGAAATCTATGAAAAAAGGCACTCAGAAAAATTGAAAAATTGATAAATCACCCTAAATTCCTTAACACAATTTTATCTCAGGAACCATAAGTCCAAATAAGTTGAAATTTTCAGGGATTGTAGTCCTTCTACTGGAATAAAAATCGCTGAAAATTTCAGCTTTCTATCTATAATAGAAAAAAAGTTATGAAATTCCAAAATTTTCCAAAATCTAAATCATAAGGTAGGTACCTTCCTACTAAAACGATGAAATTTCAAATTTTTTTTTGTTGAGATTTTGTGTCCTAATGGTCATTTGGGATCCCCCAAACTCCATACACTAAATTATTCTCAGATTTGAAGCCGAAATCTATGAAAAAAGGCACTCAGAAAAATTGAAAAATTGATAAATCACCCTAAATTCCTTAACACAATTTTATCTCAGCAACCATAAGTCCAAATCAGTTGAAATTTTCAGGGATTGTAGTCCTTCTACTGGAATAAAAATCGCTGAAAATTTCAGCTTTCTATCTATAATAGAAAAAAAGTTATGATATTCCAAAATTTTCCAAAATCTAAATCATAAGGTAGGTACCTACCTTCCTACTAAAATGATGAAATTTCAAATTTTTTTTTGTTGAGATTTTGTGTCCTAATGGTCATTTGGGATCCCCCAAACTCCATACACTAAATTATTCTCAGATTTGAAGCCGAAATCTATGAAAAAAGGCACTCAGAAAAATTGAAAAATTGATAAATCACCCCAAATTCCTTAACACAATTTTATCTCAGGAACCATAAGTCCAAATAAGTTGAAATTTTCAGGGATTGTAGTCCTTCTACTGGAATAAAAATCGCTGAAAATTTCAGCTTTCTATCTATAATAGAAAAAAAGTTATGAAATTCCAAAATTTTCCAAAATCTAAAACATAAGGTAGGTACCTTCCTACTAAAACGATGAAATTTCAAATTTTTTTTTGTTGAGATTTTGTGTCCTAATGGTCATTTGGGATCCCCCAAACTCCATACACTAAATTATTCTCAGATTTGAAGCCGAAATCTATGAAAAAAGGCACTCAGAAAAATTGAAAAATTGATAAATCACCCTAAATTCCTTAACACAATTTTATCTCAGCAACCATAAGTCCAAATCAGTTGAAATTTTCAGGGATTGTAGTCCTTCTACTGGAATAAAAATCGCTGAAAATTTCAGCTTTCTATCTATAATAGAAAAAAAGTTATGATATTCCAAAATTTTCCAAAATCTAAATCATAAGGTAGGTACCTTCCTACTAAAATGATGAAATTTCAAATTTTTTTTTGTTGAGATTTTGTGTCCTAATGGTCATTTGGGATCCCCCAAACTCCATACACTAAATTATTCTCAGATTTGAAGCCGAAATCTATGAAAAAAGGCACTCAGAAAAATTGAAAAATTGATAAATCACCCCAAATTCCTTAACACAATTTTATCTCAGGAACCATAAGTCCAAATAAGTTGAAATTTTCAGGGATTGTAGTCCTTCTACTGGAATAAAAATCGCTGAAAATTTCAGCTTTCTATCTATAATAGAAAAAAAGTTATGAAATTCCAAAGTTTTCCAAAATCTAAATCATAAGGTAGGTACCTTCCTACTAAAACGATGAAATTTCAAATTTTTTTTTGTTGAGATTTTGTGTCCTAATGGTCATTTGGGATCCCCCAAACTCCATACACTAAATTATTCTCAGATTTGAAGCCGAAATCTATGAAAAAAGGCACTCAGAAAAATTGAAAAATTGATAAATCACCCTAAATTCCTTAACACAATTTTATCTCAGCAACCATAAGTCCAAATCAGTTGAAATTTTCAGGGATTGTAGTCCTTCTACTGGAATAAAAATCGCTGAAAATTTCAGCTTTCTATCTATAATAGAAAAAAAGTTATGAAATTCCAAAATTTTAACACAATTTTATCTCAGGAACCATAAGTCCAAATAAGTTGAAATTTTCAGGGATTGTAGTCCTTCTACTGGAATAAAAATCGCTGAAAATTTCAGCTTTCTATCTATAATAGAAAAAAAGTTATGAAATTCCAAAATTTTCCAAAATCTAAATCATAAGGTAGGTACCTTCCTACTAAAACGATGAAATTTCAAATTTTTTTTTGTTGAGATTTTGTGTCCTAATGGTCATTTGGGATCCCCCAAACTCCATACACTAAATTATTCTCAGATTTGAAGCCGAAATCTATGAAAAAAGGCACTCAGAAAAATTGAAAAATTGATAAATCACCCCAAATTCCTTAACACAATTTTATCTCAGGAACCATAAGTCCAAATAAGTTGAAATTTTCAGGGATTGTAGTCCTTCTACTGGAATAAAAATCGCTGAAAATTTCAGCTTTCTATCTATAATAGAAAAAAAGTTATGAAATTCCAAAATTTTCGAAAATCTAAATCATAAGGTAGGTACCTTCCTACTAAAACGATGAAATTTCAAATTTTTTTTTGTTGAGATTTTGTGTCCTAATGGTCATTTGGGATCCCCCAAACTCCATACACTAAATTATTCTCAGATTTGAAGCCGAAATCTATGAAAAAAGGCACTCAGAAAAATTGAAAAATTGATAAATCACCCCAAATTCCTTAACACAATTTTATCTCAGGAACCATAAGTCCAAATAAGTTGAAATTTTCAGGGGTTGTAGTCCTTCTACTGGAATAAAAATCGCTGAAAATTTCAGCTTTCTATCTATAATAGAAAAAAAGTTATGAAATTCCAAAATTTTCGAAAATCTAAATCATAAGGTAGGTACCTTCCTACTAAAACGATGAAATTTCAAATTTTTTTCTATTGAGATGTTGTGTCCTAATGGTCATTTGGGATCCCCCAAACTCCATACACTAAATTATTCTCAGATTTGAAGCCGAAATCTATGAAAAAAGGCACTCAGAAAAATTGAAAAATTGATAAATCACCCTAAATTCCTTAACACAATTTTATCTCAGGAACCATAAGTCCAAATAAGTTGAAATTTTCAGGGATTGTAGTCCTTCTACTGGAATAAAAATCGCTGAAAATTTCAGCTTTCTATCTATAATAGAAAAAAAGTTATGAAATTCCAAAATTTTCCAAAATCTAAATCATAAGGTAGGTACCTTCCTACTAAAACGATGAAATTTCAAATTTTTTTTTGTTGAGATTTTGTGTCCTAATGGTCATTTGGGATCCCCCAAACTCCATACACAAAATTATTCTCAGATTTGAAGCCGAAATCTATGAAAAAAGGCACTCAGAAAAATTGAAAAATTGATAAATCACCCCAAATTGCTTTACACGATTTTATTTCTGGCCTCAAGAGCCGGGAATAATCAAATATTGAATCTTAAAGAAGATCATCATCTAATCAAATCAGAAAATCAAGAGCTTGATTGCTACTCCAACTTCAACTAGAGTCCTTCAAGAAAAACTTAAGTTTCCTAATCCCTCCAATACATCAGCTTAATCCTGAACTTTTCTGGATGTTGTATATTGTAAATGGAACCAATCAGCCTATTTTAAGGATTTTTCTAACACAGAACGGATCAGAACTTAAATAGGTACATATATCAGCTTTTTTATTATAAAGGATCTTTTATTAACACTTCAGATAAGCATCAGTTGAGGAATAGGAATCAATCAGGCGCTTCTGAATAACTCAGAAACCATAGAAAGTATTTGAAACAGTATAGTTCAGAATCCATCAGACATTTTTCAATATCACTTTTAATAATTTGTTTGAAATACTTTTGGGAAATATGAAACAGTTCAGAATTCAGAAAGAAGTTCTATAATTCTTACACATTGAAGAATTTGTTAATCAAATGATTATTCCCACATTTGAATAGATAAGAGCCAGGAATATGACAAAATTGGAAAATGGACATTGAATAAAAGCATTTATTAGAATTTTATTCATATTAAAACTACCTAGCGGATTTATGGTACTTAGTAGGTACCTAGAATTCTGAGGAAAAAGATACTATAAGTATATAGAAGGATTAAGTAGGTACTTAATTTAGTGATTATTCCAGGTACTTGATTCGAATCAAGAGTGAAAGTTTCAAAATGAGTAATGATAATGAAATATTAGCCCCGAAGCGTGTTTATAGGCAGACCTCTTGAAAACGTTGGGTTCTGTAACATAAGACATATTTAAAAAGTACGTCTTGAATGTCGTTTGTCAAAATCTTAGGGACGTTTTGTGAGCTGTCTGGGTTTTGATTCAAATTGTGATTATTACCGGCTCTTGATTCGTTGGATAAAGGTAATCAAGAGCCGGTAATAGAAATATATTTAAGTCCTCTCGGACATCTTGACGCTATTAGGGATGATTATAAGAAAATATCACTGATCACTGATCCAGTTGATTAATGATGATCTTCTGATCATAGACATGGGTCTTTACCTATATGATCAATTATTACCTCACAACACCTCTCCATCATATGAGCCAAAGGCAAAAACGACAACATAACATCGTCGCTTCTCAGTCTGTGATCGCCGAATTGTAAAACGACAGCACTCATCGAACCCACCACGTTTTCGTGAGTCAACATGACTCCTTTGGGCTGACCGGTGGTACCACTAGTGTAGCAAATCGTACACAAATCGGTAGGTTTCGGCGGTACTTCCGGATTGTTCGCTTTGGACCCTAAAAGTTCCACATCTTGCAGCCTGAGGATTTCGATGCCCATATTTTTCGCCCTTTGCTTCGTAGCAGGCCGAACTTCTTTAAACACTATGAGTTTTTTTAAGCACCTAGGCGATTTTTCCAATATGGAATTACATTTAGCGTCATCTTCTACTAAGATAACTTGAATTTCAGCTAAAAGAAAATTATCATCATTATTAAAACTACCTACTTATATTGGAAAAAAATCTTATACCGTGTTTAATAATAAAAGAACACGCATCCGCCCCCAAAGTATCATACAAAGGAACTATAACCATGCTGTAACAGTAGGCGGCCTGTTCGACCAAAATCCATTCCGGACAATTGATGGCGTAGATGCCAATCATGGTACTGGTGCCTGGTTTGAGGCCAATTTCCACCATTCCGGAACCCAAATTTCTGGCTCTGAGCAACGACTCGTTGTAGGTGAGCCATTGGTAAGGTTTTCCGTACGATTCTCTCCAACCTAGACACGGACCATTATCTGAAATTAAATGAGATTGTAATATTTATACAGTTTTTATACACATTAGATAACTTACTGGATATTTTAGCTCCTCGCCTAAAACTCTCATACAAGGTGGTCGCATCTGAATGTAAATAACTAACGAATTTGCCTTCTTTGGCATCTTTGTAAAATCTAGATACTCTTATGACGTCTGGACCCTGGAACAAAAATTTAGAAAAAATTACTCCAAAATCTCGTTTCAAAAGTCGTCGAACTTTGATTATTTATTGGAAATTTGTCAATATTTTTACGAAATAATCGTCTCACCGAAATAGTTGAGCAAAAGCCAAAAATCCGGGGGCTAACGGAGTCATATTTTTGCGTAGTTTATTTCACGATTAATTTGAACTATTGCGATGATTAACTCGTGATCGAAATCAGGTGCCTAAAAATTGTTTTAATTGGCGAAAGAAATTAATAAAATTCACGTGTCTGAAGCTTTATAAATACACACAAGATTTTGGAGTTAATGTGATAAAAGTTTTAATATAGAAAGAAGTCTTGGCTCAGGCTGTTTAAAAATGTTTCATAATGTACCAACCCTTTTGACAAAACAAATCGTATTTTTAAAAGGGAAATATCACCCAAAAATCGAAAAAACTGGTTGCTAAAAGGTAGTAAAATTGAGTAAATCATGTTTCCAAATGTCAAAATGTTAGAGAAATGTTTAGATTTGCTATATTGAAAAATTGAATGATTATTCCCGGTAATCAAAAATTGAACATTGAATAAGATCAGCTAACCGAATCAAATCTGTAGGTTAGTTTTTGTACAGGGTGGCCCGTTTATTTTGTCCTATCTCGGTATATAGAATTCTAGATATTTAATGAAAAAAAGTTTTACACAAAAGTTGTAGGGTTTTAATCATTAATTTGTTTATTTCTATGTTTCCCTTTGATCAAAGTCCGACTTTTAAATATTTATTTTTAACGTCTAACGTTTCTACAATAATCTAAAAATTGGCCATTCCCCGAAAATAACTGTAAATAAATCTGAAACCGTGCATAACAATCCTATCAAACTATATATTTATATTTGTCTTTGCAAGCGCTATCAAAAAATATAAAAACATACAGGGTGTCCTATTCAAAACAATTAAATCTGAAGTGTCACACTTTTTTGACTCCCCCTATATATGCGCAAATATAAAAAAAAACAAATTATTGATTTAAACCCTACAACTTTTGCATTTAACTTTTTGTCATAAAATATCTAGATTTTCATATATCGACAAAATAAACAGGCCACCCTGTACATCAGATTGCGGTTTTAAGGGAAATAATCCATGATTTCTTCCAATTACCAGCAGATTGCCCCTGATGACACGACCTCAAATTTTAAAGATTTTTGAAAACTGCGCATACGTTGTGTTGTTAAATCTAGAGATTTACGAATTTCCTAAAGACTTCCCATGATTCCCTTAAGATTTCCCTTGAATTCCTTATAAGATTTCCTCAGAATTTCTGCTGATTGCCTTTAATTTTTCCCGGATTTCCTATTGATTTTTCCGAATTTATTCACCAAATTTCAATATTGCGGTTTACCTCTCGGTGGCTACATTGAAAAACTGAATGAACAAGTGATTATCCTAGATATAGAGATTTACTGATTTCCTAAGTTTCCCATGATTTCCTTAATCTTTCCTCCGAGTTCCTTAAGATTTTCTATATTGATTTTCTCATAATTTGCTTATAATTTCCACTGATTGGATTAGATTTCCTTGATTTTCCTAATTCATGCACCAGATTTCCCTTGCGGTTTACCACTCTAAGGGGTAAACCGCTGATCAGTTTTTGTACGCCAGATTGTGATTTTAGGAGAAATCATGGATGATTTCTTTTAATTTCTTCTGATTACCAGTAAGATTACGCAAGAGTTCTTCTGATAACATAACCTCAAATTATGAGGATTTTTAAAAACTGCGCATGCCTTAGATCTAGAGATTGACTGATTTCCTGAAGATTTCCCCTAAGTTCCTTAAGATTTTCCATTGATTTGCCTTAATTTGCACACCCTAACGGTTTACCACTGAGAAATAAATCATAAGTCAGTTTTTTTTCGCCAGATTGCAATTAAACTTCAAATTATAAAGAGTTTTGAAAACTGCGCATGCGTAAAATCAGAAATTGACTGATTTCCTTGAGATTTCCCATGATTCCCCTTTAGATTTCCTTAAGATTTCCCTTGATTTCCTTATGATTTCTTCTGATTTCCTCATAATTTCCCTTGATTAAATTTTCTCGGATTTTCTCTTGATTTCTCCAAATTTGTATACCAGATTTTCCTATTGCGTTTTACCCCTCGGTTGCTACAAATGAGAAATTGGATGATCGTAATTATTCTAGATCTACTTATACAGATTTACTGATTTCCCATGATTTCCTTAATATTTCCCCCAAGTTCCTCAAGATTTTCTATTAATTTTCTCATGATTTCCTTATAATTAACCCTGATTGCATTAGATTTTTTTCGGATTCCCTTTTGATTTCCCTAATTCGTACACCAGATTTTCCTTGCGGTTTACCACTGCTAGTAAGTTTTTGTAGGCCAGATTGTGCTTTTAGGGGAAATCATGGATGATTTCTCCTAATTTTTTTTGATTACCACCAGTAAGATTATCCAAGAATTCCCCTGATAATATAACCTCAAATTATATCGATTTCTGAAAACTGCGCTTGTAAGTATTACATGGCCTTTATGAGTTGAAAATATCGAAAAATTTGCTTCAAATTGAGTTTTTTTCTGAAGATTTTCGATAAATTACCACATTCATTTTTTGACAGGTGATTGATACTTCCTGTATTAACATTGTGTCCATTTTTTTCATAATCGGTACGGTTTTAGGACTCTTATAGAGATTGACTGACTTCTTCAAAATTTCTCATGATCCCCTCAAAATTTCTTCTGATTTCATTATAATTTTCCCAGATTTCCCTATTGCGTATTACCCCTCGGTTGCTACATTGAGAAATTGAATAATCAAGTGATTATTCTAGATCTAGAGAATTTCTGATTTCCTTGAGATTTCCCATGATTTCCTTAATATTTCCCCCGAGCTCTTTAAGATTTTTTATTGATTTCCTTATAATTTCCCGTGATTTAATTAAATTTCTTCGGATTTCCATTTGATTTCTCCTAATTCGTACACCAAATTGCGGTTTATCGTTTATGCCACCGAGGGGTAAACCGCAGGTCAGTTTTTGTATGCCAGATTACGGTTTTAGAGAAATCATGGATGATTTTCCAATAAGATTGCCCAAAGAGTTCTCCCAAATTATAGGAATTTTTGAAAAACTGCGCATGCACGTTAGCTCTAAAAATTGACTGATTTCTTTAAAATTTCCCAAGATTCATTTAACCCTGAGTTCCTTAAAATTTCCCTTGATTTCCTTATATGATTTTTTTTTTGATTTCATTATAATTTCTCCTGATTGTCTTAGATTTTCTCCGATTTGCTCTTGATTTTCTCAAAGGACCCTGCCCAAAGTATACGGAGATTGTGTTTATGTCAAAATTGGCTGAATTTTGTATATAATGTAGATCACGTCTTCTTGATTAAAAGTTACCATTGCACCAATTCTGAAAAATGATTCCTTTTTGAGAAAATTGATTTCATAGTATTCATAGGTAGAAGTAAAACGTTTGGATATTGTAATGAACGTACATACAAATAAGTAGATTATTGCAGAACTTATGGGTGGACCTCTGCGGGACGAGCGCAGCGAGTTCCGCAGCCATCTACTCACCAATATACTGTTGAACTGTTCAAATAAGACACTCACCTGAAACGTAATTTTTGAACTAATGAGAATACCGCAAATTTGAGTGAGTCAGTTTAGTATCGTAATTAAACAACATATTGATGAATAGATGGCTGGTCCACCTATAAGTTCCGCAACAATTCACTCATTTGTACTTGAATAACTTGACAAAAGTCTTACAGATTCTGACTTTATATCATAAGTTATTGTTCAAGTACAAATAGGTGGATTGTTGCGGAACTTATGAGTGGGCCATCCAATCTCCAATATAATGTTGAACTGTTCAAGTAAGACATTCGCCTGAAACGTGTAATTTTTAAACCAATGAGAATACCGCAAATTTGAGTGAATCAGTTTAGTATCGTAATTAAACAACATATTGATGAATAGATGGCTGCGGAACTCGCTGCGCTCGTCCCGCAGCGGTCCACCCATAAGTTCCGCAACAATTCACTCATTTGTACTCGAATAACTTGTGATATTATGTTACTAGTTTGGTAAAGTAACATTACTAATTCCTGTTGAAAGGCGAATTGACAAAAAGTGGATAATCTTACAAATTCTGACTTTATATAATAAGTTATTGTTCAAGTAAGAATAAGTGGATTGTTGCGGAACTTATGGGTGGACCTCTGCGGGACGAGCGTAGCGAGTTCCGCAGCCATCTACTTACCAATATACTGTTGAACTGTTAAAATAACACACTTACCTAAAACGTGTACTTTTTAAACTAATGAGAATAGCTCATATTTGAGTGTCAGGTTATTATCGTAATTAAACAACATATTAATGAATAGATGGCTGCGGAACTCGCTGCGCTCGTCCCGCAGAGGTCCACCCATAAGTTCCGCAACAATTCTCTCATTTGTACTTGAATAACTTGTCAGATTATATTACTAGTTTGGTAAAGTAACATTACTTATTCCTGTTGAAAGGCAAATCGACAAAAAATGAATAATCATAATTTTACAAATTTTGACTTTACATAATAAGTTCAAGTACAAATAGGTAAATTATTGTGGAACTTATGGGTGGACCTCTGTGGGACGAGCGCAGTGGGCCATCTACTCACCAATATTCTGGTAAACTATTAAAATAAGACACTCACCTGAAACTTGTAGTTTTTGAACTAATGAGAATAACTGACATTTGAGTAAGTCAGGTAAGTATCGTACTTGAACAACGTATTATTGAATAGATGACTGCGTAACTCGTTGCGCTCGTAACGCAAAGTTCCACTCATAAGTTCCACAATAATCCACCTATTTGTACTTGAACAATAACTTATGATATAAAGTCAGAATCTGTAAGATTTTTGTCAATTTGCCTTTTAAGAGGAATTAGTCATGTTACTTCACCAAACTAGTAATATATTGTGACAAATTATTCAAGTACAA